AATAAGTACATGTTATTCTCCTCACTAAGTAATTATGTTCAAATATTCCAAATTTCACACTTTCTTTGTTGCCAGATTGGAGCCAAATTGGGATTTCGTTTTTTTTAATGTTGTGCAAAATGGTAAAATTTTATTACCACAATGAGTCACAAACTGTACTGATCTAATCTTATAACAATGTGTTTTTATAGGCGAATGCCATCCAAATTCTTAGACAACGAACGAATCAGAGCTACATTGAGTTTGTTCTCAATGTTTCAGAATGTTACAACATATCAGATTACTGCTGCCCTCAATTAGATAAGTATCAAAAATTCCTTGAAAAGTGACTTCTATATTGATGTTGGCCTCATGTCTGTCATAGAACCAATTCCGGACACAATAACCATACTGAAACCTAGTTTCTCTTTGTATCAAAGTCACATCTCATAGAGCTTGGAGAAACACCCCCATATTATCCAGGTAGTCATCATACCGACCCATCTGATTACATACCTATTCCTTAAACAATTACATGTACTTCTAAACAGACTACATTGGCGTTTTATCGAAGATCAGGGATTGCACCAAAGCGAGTGGAGAACCATTTGTGTTACTTATACAAACTGACGAAAGGTATACATGGTAACCAAAAAACTACACTTATCAATCCTGTGATAGCCATCTAATACCAAAACAATTTCAGTTTTGTTAGTGGTAGTGAACTTGCAATCAATCTATGGAAAGAATGTATAACCAATCCACATAAGTTCAACCGTTCCTGCTTACATCCACCACCCGTGACAACTGTTGTTGCGGCCACGAACCTAAAACCGTCCATATCTAATGGTACTTTTTTGTAGACAACCCTCGATATATATCTCCTATGACTGTCACATCATGTATTCTGATGGTTTTAATCTCCAAAACACTTTTCTATAGGAGCATTATGCCATGGCTCATCACATGCTACACATATCCATGTCAACCCAGAGATACCAGAAACAACATCTCTCATTAACTTGTAACTCATATAAATTAGGAAAAAAACATAATATATTCCATATGGTAAACATCCTGTACTAATAACAAAATCCCATCAAATTTACAGGACATTCAAGACCAGTGCCGACATTATCAGGAACACCCTCGACCCTATACGACATGAAGGCCAAAAACAGATCTGATCTCCTGGTAATGTGGTACTAATAATACCTCTATTTACAAATGGAATTCGTTTCACACATCCACAACCAATTTGTTCACATCTACAGGATAAAACATTCATTGTACGGGCTTCAATCAAAGATTTTCACTTTCATAACAGTTGGTACCAAACAACATGTCCAACTTGCAAGGATCGAATCTTCAGAAGGGTTGAAAAGTGGTTCTTCAGTGCACACGCACTGATTGAAAAGCCAAATTACGTTTAAGCATCTTTTAAATTAAACAAAAGGTCATTACTCTGTAACAACAGTCTTTACAAATATTTTCTGTCCATAGATGCAAATTCACTGTGACCATCATCGACGCTACAACCACCATATCAGGAGTAATATTTGAGACATCATTTCGGAAGCTACTAAAGTCATCGCTCGAAAAGTTTATATCTGACAATCCACTCATTAATAGAAACATCCTGCCCTCACCCATTACTGATCACAAAGAATAAACAAAAACAATGTCAATCCAAATGCTTAGAGCATTGACTCCAGACAATGTGCGCTTCATAATAATAGACATCGAAGACTCAACAACCATGTCTGAAACATCTATCCCAAGAACAACAGCTCTACCATAAATGACAAGAATACAACCAAATGACAGCACACCAGGCTCATCCACACCTGTTCAACATGTTGCACATGCTCTCACTTACGATCCTAAAGGTAAATACACATATAACAAAATCAAATGTAAAAACAAAATACACAAACATATACTAACAGCTTTCAGTTCATGTATGACAGGACGTACACCAACAAAAAGTGCAAAGCAGACCGAAAAATAGTAAGCATCATAGACAAGCACCATAAAATCTATCTTTTGTATGGGCCAATATCTCTATCTTTTGTAATATAAACATACCATCATGACCCCCTACTAGTGAAAACTATAACAACTAACTTCCCTTTTCATTAATGTTCTTCTTCTAAATTTAGCAGATGTAATGATAATATGCATAGCCTTCCCAACTTACATACGCAAACAACCATACAACTAAAAATATGTAATATATATAACAACTTCTTTTCCTGTATCAACTAAGGTACCACCTAAAAAAATATGTATGCTACCGGTCACGTGAAACATGAATACACACATAACAATTTAAATAATCCATTAATTAATAATATATTACGTTATCTCTATAGATCCAGTAAATGATTATTATTATACATACAACCTTCATTACGGAAATCATTAACATTACCATTATAGAATTAAATGCTACTCCATAAATTCCACCAAACACAAACTACCACTTCATTTATACAACATGCACTTGAAGACTTATCCAGACATTCTGACCCAAGTGACAAATAAGCACCACACAGTGCTTGTGAAATTAATTACCGAACCCAAACCCAAGATTTGTATCTACCAAATCAAGAAAAAAACCATCAAGCCGCCCTATATCTATGACTTTCCAGGAGAACAATTAAATTACCATATTTAATGGCATCGAACAACCATAATCATCCCTTATGAAACCACACCACAAACTCACCGACCTCTCCACCAAACACCAAACAAACAGCATGGATACCATCATGCAGAAGCTGCTCGACCAACTGGAAACCATGAAGCAATCCTTGGTTGACGTCCAACACACCTACAACACCATTAACACCTCCAGGAAGAATCTACAAGAAGATGCTCCAATCAAACTGCCATAAAAGCACGCTGTAATCACCAACATCCTCATCGGCGATCTCGACATGGACACAATACTAATGCTCGATATGTTCGAAATTATGCAGCAGAACATGACAGAAGCAATGGATATTTGCAAGAAAATCATTAAAGACCACCCAACACCATAACCAACCAAAATCATATGCTTTTGCCACCATCTAATATCGTTCCCGCTGTTATGTAATCCAATGTCATGTAATCATCCACTAATGAATGAATATCTTTTGATCCATATTCAGTCGTCTCTTCATATATTTATTTGTTGAAAACCAAATCACTATAAACGTAAACAATTAAAATAGATATAAAATACTTTCAGTTGTAGTCCAATCGGTATCATTTTCTTCAGAGGAGAAAAAATAACACAAAACTCTAAAAAATTATCGCCATAAAACAAAGTCAATGAAAACCTTCAATCTCAAAAAAATTTAGAATTCCGATATGTGGAAGCCAATATCGTACGTGCAGATTGTATTCATATTTGCCACCTCAGAAACAACATCGAAAGCTTGTGGCCCCCGCGTAGCGGGGTAACTATAACGGCCGTAGATCCGGACTAGTCAATGTAGAGATAAAAGGGGTCGAAAATGACTTTTGACAAAAGATTATTTAGAATAAATAATCTTAACCAAGTTGTAGAATATGTATCAAGGGTTCCGTAAAACGCCGAAATATAACGAAAAAGGTAGGCTCGTTGAAATTTCGCGACGGAACTGACACGACACCCGGAAGAGTAAATAGTGAATTTATGATAGAGCGATATTTATCCTTAGCGATCTAAACGAAAGTCGTAGACTACATTAAACCAAGTGCGTCCATATAAAGAACACCCAAATCTGACTTCGTATGAGGAAATTATGATTTTTCAAAGTTTCGGCTTAGAAGTGTACAACCCGGAGTTCAAATACTAGATCGAGCAGTATTTAGCCGATACATCCTAAATGAGAATCGAAGATCTCGTTAACAGTAGCATAACAGTAAAAAGACAGACGAAAACGGATGTCGGATGAAGAAGTTATGGATTTTTAACGAACTAATCCTGTCCCGGCTTGTTAAAAATATAAAATTTAAAATAAAATCAAAATTAGCCAACGGAGTCTAAACGAAAGTTGTAGAGTACGTTCCTGCCTACGTGTAGATATAAAGAACATCGAAAACGGAGCTCGTATACGAAATATACACAATTTTGAAGTCAAGAGTGCAAATCACGAAGGTTGTGCGAGGGGTACGCTCAACGTAGGTCTTCGGACGCCTAGCGTTCCCCCTACACCTCACGTATGAGATTCGGACTGCCTCGCATATTGCTGCCTTCTGTGAACTAAAACAAGCCACGTCGCCCCAACAACCTTGTGACGCGTGTTGTACGATGCGACCCTTATGCCCAGTGTACCTCGGCTACGTCCAACATAGTGCGAGGCCTCGCAGGCTATAAAAAGGCAGCGAAGCCAGCCTTATTTTGCACCTTTCTTACTTCTCTCTCTAGTTTCTTTCTCTCTCTAGCCTATCTGGAGCCCCCTAAAGCCTAGGTAAACCCCTAGCACCCGAAGGAAGCCCTGAAGCTCCCAGAGTCCCGAAAAAAGGTTCTTTTGGTTCGGAAATGTTGCTCCAAGCGAAGTTCGATTTTCTATAAAACCCGCTGTAAGTGAACTATGCCTACGCTATTTTTAATATAACTTTTATTTAATTATAGTAACATTATTAGGAACTTATAGTAAGTACTTGGGCTATTATTATGGGTTATATAAATATTGTTTAACGCTTATATAATAATAATAATAATAATAATAATAATAATAATAATAATAATAATAAGAGTAAATTACTGAAATGGTCCCTGTGATTTAGGTAAAATTGCATGTTTAGTCCCTAACTTTGTTTTTGCACTTGTATAGTCCTCAAGGTTTCATTTTATTACGCGCCTAGTCCCTATTGACGTTTTCTGTCACTCTTCTCCGTTAAGTATCTCACGTGACTGGCACACTAAGGGTATATTCGTCCTTTTACACATGGCGCCTAAATGGATATGGCAAACGTTTCTTATATCTTCCCGATCATCTTTCTCGTTTACATTACACATACCACTTCTATCAACTAAATCACTTAGAAAACCCTAACCTACTCAATTTCAATCAAGATTTCCTAAAGGCAACAATGGTGGGGTGGAGGATTTGAGCAGACATGGCGGAAATAGACGTTGGACGAGTTTACAGTTAGTATTTTTGTTTTTAATACTCTCATCTAAATCAAAAACTCTCAAAACCTAAGATTCATTCCCGTTCTCGCAGGTGGTAATCCGTCATTCTTCTCGATTAAACTGTTTTATAATGGAGTTTTTACAAAGTTTCATGGAAGGAGATACATAAAGGGAAAAGTAAAGTATGTTGATTTATTGGACATTGACGAGTTCTCTATTCATGATATTGATGAAATGATGGACATCCTTGGTTGCGTAGAGGAAGGTAAGCTATTGTATTATCACTTCAAAAGACCATTATCAGATTTGGACACTGGTTTGTATGCTTTGGCTTGTGATAGTGATATTAACCACTTGAGGACATATGTGGAGAAACATAAACTTATTGAAGTTTATACAGAGCATGGTAAGACAATGTTGAAGACGTATTAAATGTCCCCTAACCCTAGTAAAGTTAGGATTGCGGAAATTATTGAACCCCCTGCATGTTCTATAAGGCTTTTCTTAGAATGGAAGACATCAACAACAGGGGATTGTAGTGGTTCTACCATACCATAAGTTGACCAATGTGGAAAACCCCCAAATGAACCTCAATTTCAAACACAAGGTTTTGATGAAGACTTTGATCATTGTGAAAACCCTCTAAATGACTTTGATCAAGACTTAACTTCATTTGTACAAGAATTTGATCAAGACTTTACTGCATTTGTACAAGATGAGGTCAATCAAGGTGAGGACATGGGAGTGCATGGTGATGATTTGACTGGCAGTGAAGATAGTGACTTCCTATTAGACGAGGATAACATGATTGAGGAGCATGACATAGATATGAAAGAATTTTTCTCGAACATTGACCAAAATGCAGAATGGATGGGTGACAATGGAGGGTCAAGTATGAATGTAGAAGATGGTAAGGAAGATGAACAAATCGAGGTGCTTAACAATGACATGTTGATATCTGAGTCGTCATCCGATTAGGAGGGGGGAGATAAAAGTAGAAGAAAGTCAATTAAAGCAATACGGGATGCTGAAGAAAACAGTGAAGCGCGTGTTACTGATCCCTTTTACTTGTATCAGAGTTTTGGTTCATCTGAAGAGTTGAAAAACAAAATAAAACAACATGTTGTCAAGACTAGAAAAGAGATTGTCATAATTAAAAATGACAAAAATAGGGTAAGGGCCATTTGTAAAGGTAGTATACCAGACCTTATTGAAGTAGGTGTTGGTGGGCCTGTTGAAGAAAGCAAGTGCCCGTGGGTCCTATATGCAAGCAGGTGGAGTAACGATGCAGATTGGGAGGTTCATACGTATGAAAAAAAAACATGTATGTCTACAAACGAGGACTGTGAAAGCTTGTACTTACAAGTTTTTATCCAAGCAAATTGTGCAACAGGTGGAAAGTAACCCAACAATTCCTACAAGAGCTTTACAAGAACAACTCCAACGCCAATACCAATGTGACATTTCGAAGATGAAGGTATTTCGGGCAAAAACCGAGGCAAATATTCATGTGATAGGTGATTATGCAGGCCAATACTCTATATTAAGAGACTATGTTTTGGAACTTCAAACACGAAGCCTAGACACCACCGTGAAAATCGAAGTTGAAACCGAACCCAATCCCCACTGTGAATCAAGAATATTCAATCGGATATACATATGCTTAGGGTCATTGAAGAAGGGTTTTGCAGGTGGAAAACGAGATTATCTTGGTTTGGATGGGTCTTTTATATCCAGGAATAGTCCTCACAGCAGTGGTAAGTTAACAATTTTTTTTTCTCATCTATTTTTAATGTTTTTGATTACTAACTTAATATTTGTATTTAGGGTCTTAATGGAAACAACTGTACCTATCCTTTGGCATACGCTGTAGTAGAGGCCGAAAACATAAATTCATGGACTTGGTTTTTAAATTGTTTGGGTGATGACCTAGAGTTGCACAGTAACTCCAACTTTACATTTATATCTGATAGACAGAAGGTGATATATTCCTACAAGAATTACATTTATAACTACACATGTATAATTCATTTTGATTTTATTTATGTTTTTATTTGGTAGGGATTGTTGCATGCAGTAGGTACACTTTTTCCATGTGCAGAACATAGGTTTTGTCTACGCCATATCCACGAAAACATGAAAACACAGTCGAGGGGAAGGGTCTTTTAGGACACGTTATGGAATTGTGCAACTGTAACAATTGTGCAAGAATTTCACCATGCAATGGAAGAGTTCAAGAAATTGAATAATGATTGCTATGAATGGGTTAAATCTATTCCACCTCAGCACTGGGCTAGGTCACACTTCACAGGTTTGTATCCTTTTTACTTGATATACCTTCATTTTTGTTAGTTAGTAAAATATGTTAGCTTAAACTTCAATTGTAATGCAGGGAGGGCACATTGTGATGGTCTTCTAAATAATTTGTGTGAGTCTCTTAATAGTCAACTTCAAAAAGCACGTGAACAACCGATCATCACTTGTCTAGAATCCATTAGATACTACCTAATGGTAAGGATAGTCACAGTGCAAAAGGTAATCGATAAGGCATCTGGACCTTTGACTCCAACTGCAACAACTGTATTGGAAAAAATAAAAAATGAGGCATCACAATGTATTGGTGTGTTTTGTGGGAATGGTAAATACCAAGTTATTGGACCATGGATGGACCAGTGTGTTGTTGACATGGTTCAACACACATGTTCTTGTAGGAAATGGGAACTCACTGGCATCCCATGTAAGCATGAAATAGTTGCAATATGGGATATGAGAAAAAACAATAAAGATGTAGGGTTGCCTGAATCATGGGTTCATCCCACTTACTGGCTAAAAACATGGAAGGAAATGTATTCCTTCAAGATTGAACCTATTAATAGAAAAAGAATGTGGGAAAAATATCCTTGCCCTACCACATTTCTACCTCCTAAACATCATGTCCCTATTGGAAGACCAAAAAAGAAACGAAAGAAGTCTGATGTGGAAGATTTGGTGAAGGGGAATAGTGCTTCAAGGAAAAATAAATCTGTGACATGTTCAAAATGCAAAAATAATGGTCATAATGCTAGAAGTTGCAAAGGTTAGAAAGAAAATGGTGTTGGGAAGGCAGATGGTGTAGGGAAGAAAGCAGATGGTGATGGGAAGAAAAAAAATGGTGCTTGGAAGAAGAAAGCAGTTGGTGCTGGGAAGAAACCAAATGGTGCTGGGAAGAAGAAAGCAGTTGATGCTGGAAAGAAACCAAATGGTGCTCGAAACAAAGGAAATAATGTTGTTTGAAGAAGTATTTTCTAGTATTTCTGTTGCTTAATGTATTAGCTTTTGGAACTTCTATCTTTTGTGGCTTAATGTCTTAGTTTTAACTGTTAACAATTACTATAATTACCTTGTATCTTTTGGAACTTGTATCTTTTGTAAGGGTATAACCGCATGGTAATTAGATATGATGGTTGTTTCTAAAGTTGGTCAGATTGCTGCACTTATTGGCATTTAAGTTCATACCAATTTCTACATTTAAATGGATATAATTGTCACTGATTGATGGTTTTGATTTAAATTCATACAAATAGAATAAACATGTGTTACATTTTGATCAGTTAAACCTTTTTCTTACACAATACTAATTGTATTAAGCACTAAAAACATCAGAGATAATTGTTTTCAATTCTGACATACCATCAACATAACATTTTGATCAGTTAACCCTTTTTCTTGCAAAATACCAATTCTATTAAGCACTAAATAAATACATGGAGATAATTGTTTTCAAATCCTACAGACCATCAACATAATTGTCAATTCCCACAAAATAAAGTAAAAGCCTTGTAAATTACATTGACTAAATTACATCGAGTAAATTACAGCTTGTAAATTAGGATCACCACAAAAAAAAGCCCAACTGAAGAGTAGTAGCATCCCCAACTTCAAATTCTGATCTTTAAGCTTTGATAGAAGTGAAAGGTCAGCTCTTGCATGATCAGACTCATCTTCATCAACCCAGCCAACAAAACCCCAAGTTGTTACCTAAAAATTTGATATTTTTTCCTTCGTTAAAGGTTTTTTTTTACTAATGGGGCTCAATTAACAAATTACCTTGTTGGTACAAGCATAGAATCGTCGTCTAGGGTTCTTCTTTGTCGTTGATGTTCGTATTACAGTTGGGTGACCACAACTGCAATTTCGTGCCATTAGGGTTCTTACTGTTGTTTTGTTGTTGCAGAGAAGAAGATAAAAGATGGAGAAAGATGAAGTGAAAGTGATTAGAATAGAGAGAGAGAAACACATTATACAAACTTTAAAAAGGGTTTTCAAATAAAAGGAAGAATATACCCTTAGTGTGCCAGTCACATGAGATACTTAACGGAGAAGAGTGATAGAAAACGTCAATAGGGGCTAGGCGCGTAATAAAATGAAACCTTGAGGACTGTACGAGTGCAAAAACAAAGTTAGGGACTAAACACACAATTTTACCTAAACCACAGGGACCATTTCAGTAATTTACTCTAATAATAATAATAATAATAATAATAATAATAATAATAATAATAATAATAATAATAATAATAATAATAATAATAATATCTAGACTATTAATTAGTCTCGGTGAATGACAGACTAAACCCTAGTGGTAATGATACTAGGTTTCGCCGAAGGAAATTGTTTCAAGAGTAATGAAGCGCTATCTAAGTTCGAAATAACCACCTTAACAGTTGAGTGTATGGTCTCTTTCATCTTACACATAAATATGAAGTATTTTATATAAATTACGTGCTATGTGTGCATATTATATGTATACTTGCTATCTATGCTGGATGAACGATGTTATACAAGTTTTATATGATTTAAACTGTATATGTATTTATATCTACATAATATGTTGGGTAAAACATGGGTATATGAAATATGAGTTGGATGATGAGTTGAGAGGTGATATAGACCATGAGGTAAGGGTGAGAGGTGGAAAATGTGAGAAGCCTTGTTCCCAAATGCTGGCCCCATCATCTAGCAGAGTATGGATGACAACCACAGACTATTCTAGACAATCCAGTGGAACACTAGTAGGGTCGCAACCTATAGGTGATGTGAACGATGTGTTCACCAGTGTACTCTAATAAACGAGATAACCCTAGCAGCTGTGCTCGAAGGACAATACTGGCAGCTGCATCTTATATTGAATGTCACAATTCTGGCAAATGTGCCTAAGTGATAGAACTAGTAGCTGTGCTTGACAGCTGTGTCATTGACAACAATGAACTTCATACCTATTCCTTAGGATAATCCTTAGGAATGAGCTGATCCTTAGGGTAGATCCTTAAGAGTAAAGAAGATAATGGGGATGGGTAATTGGGCTACCTGTTTGATGATTAAACATAATAATTATATTATTGTGGGTTGAAAACCCTAGGTACTAACCAGGTTTCCCAACCTGACCCACTCAGCTTATTTATATCACAAGTGTTGATATGAAGTCACAGTACACTGAGAGATTAAGGAGATATAAATCAATAGTGATAATGAATGTAAGTTCTGTTTATGCTTATGTTTCTGTATTGACGATGACATCCCAAATGTTTTAAGATGAATTAAAATACTTTTCTATGAAAATGCTTTGATAACGTATTTATCATGTTTTACTGGGAATAAATTCCACAACATTTTTATTAAAAGAGGTACTCTGATTTTTATAAAGAATACACAAAATCAGTCTTTTCTAGTCGTGAAAATGGGGATGTCACAGTTGGTATCAGTGCATTAGTTTAAGCGAACTAGGAATATAAATTTATTTCTAGACTTAAACTTAGAATTCTAAGCAATGATTGTGAGGAGTGTGTCTTAGGTGATACACCTGAATAGACACAAACACTATCTAATTTAGGGAAAATGCCTAACTTGCTTTTATGTGCTAAATGATTTATGATATGCATTGTATGATCGGATGTATGGTCTGTTGCCGACCGGATCTGGAAACTTTATGTGTTCAGTTATCTAAATGTTTAATTACGGTATTAGAACTGACATATAACCTTTCGGAGAAATTGGGAGATTTACACGTCAATCGTAAACAAAAATCTTTCGTATCTTAATTCTTGTCATTGCACACCGAACGTTTGATTTGGTATATAGATCGAAATGGCAAGAACCCGTAGTGGAGCCGGGAATGCAAATGGGAACAGGAATCAATCACCAGTGATTGAACAAATACATGTTATAGCAGATGCTCCTGAGCCAATTACAATGGCCGGAGTACAAACCATGATACGGGCTATGTTGGCTGAACAACGGGAAGAGATGAGGCAGATGTTGCATGAAAATAGGGACGAACCTACAATGCCAGTTGAACAGCCCGAATTGAACGATCGGCAGTTAGAAGGAGGGAACTAAAGTGGGACCGTTGGTTAAGACAACCCACCAATAGTTCGACAAAACAACTAGGATGACAGAGTTAAGAGGAATGGATGCAAGTACAAGGATTTTCTGACTTGTAAGCCGTCGAATTTCACTGTAAAGGAAGATCCGATCGGAGCAATGGATTGGATCTTGGAGATGGAGTTAGCTTTCATGGCGTGTGGTTGCAAAGGCAAGTTACAGACCACCTTTGCAGTACATCAATTCTGAGGAAGTGCTGTGTGCTGGTGGAATACCCTGGGGAAGACTCTGAGCCCCTACAACTGACATGGGTAGAGTTTTTGGTGTAGTTCATACGCAAGTACTGCTCAACCCAAAACCTTCTCGAGCTAGAGAACCAATTCCTAGCCTTGAAGAAAGGAAGCATGTCAATTGATGAATACACCAACAAATTCACAGAGAAGATGGAGTTTGCCTTGTGTATTATTCCAGATGAGTTGACAAAAATCGACAAGTACGCAAAGGGACTTCCATGGGAGTATGCGGTGCCAGTGTGTCAGACACCTACTCTGGAAGTGGCTATCTGGGCTGCCAAGTCTGTGGAGGATATGATTAAGGGAAGAGCTGTCAACAAGATTGAGGTTGGCGAAAAAAGGAAGTTTGAGGGGTCTACGAGGCCCAATAAGAAGAAGCACTTCGGGAAATGTAGCGAGGAAGTGACTTGATACAAGTGTGGGAAGACCGGACACTACACCAACGAGTGCACCGCCAACAAAAGGGTGTGTTATGAATGTTGTGAAGAAGGGCACGTTGCTAAGGGTTCTCGAAGAAGAAAGAGGCGGCAAGACCAAACACTCCACCGAAACCGAATACAAAAGCATTCCATATGATCCTTGACGAAGAAGATGGAAATAAAAGGGACCAGGAATGAGGATTTATGAAGTAGTCGTGTAAATAGTACCACATGGTGTAGCCTATTAGAGGTATAGTATAGGTTGAACTTGAACACCTATGTAATCATTTCAAGGAATAATATAAAACCTTCGTTTTTTTATCTAATGTATCAAATTGTTATGTGATTTTCTTGTATGGTGACTTGGGTGAACTGCTAGACAATACTTGGGATGAGTATGAGTAAGTGTGAAAGGTAGTTGAGGCCTATACTACCGGAAGCACATGACTCATGCTTGGATCAGGGAAAGTCACAAGGTTACCAAGAAGCTAGTTATTGATACCGTTTTATTCAAATATGTCATTACCATCATTTCGGTAATGACTAAGAGGATGATTGTTATTCCGACCCCAGTGGTCATATTGAATTGAGTCCGACTACGATGAGTATGTTACGTGGTTCAGAGAACCAAGTTTGATGTAGCATCTGACTTAATCCAGAAGATTGAAATAAAAAAAATAATCAAAGCGATCGGTAGAGGTGTCGTGATAGTTGTTTGTAGCTAGAAATGCGACCTTTTAATATGTGATTAGAATATGAAGGAAGGTATAGTCTGTTCTGGAATTTGACTCTAAAAGACCTGAGTCCAAGCAATGCATCATATGATGAGAAGTCATTAGAACATGACCCATCGGTCTATTATGATAATCGAAGGAAGAAACTTATCTCAAGTTTGTTAAAGAAGGAGTCTCCAAAAAAATTGAGATCATGACATGAAGATCATGATTGGAAGGCTAACATGACATAGAGAGCGGGTCCAAGATCGGGCACCGCCTGCAGTCAGGAAGTCTTAGAGTTAGATACTTGTTCAAAGAAACATCAAAGTTACGGTTATTACTTAGGATGAAGAGAGAATGTATGGATTCATCATGTGAGCCCATTCTTTGATGATTCTGGGACGTAATCATCATAAGGAGGAAATAATTGTAACGTCATAGATCCGGTCTAATCAATTTAGAGATAATAGGGGTCGAAAATGACT